AATATCAGGCGGCGTCACGCTTCACGTTTGCCGCGCGGTTTTTCATTCAGCGACCCGCTAAAATTAAACCGCGCTGACGAGCGATGAAAATAATAGGGAAAGTACGTGCTCTCCGCTTTGTGTCTCGCTTTTCCCGATCGCGCGGAGCACCTCCTCTCGTAAATCGCGCGCGTTCCAAACAGTTTACGCGACGCGCGATCGTTTTCGCGGTCAGGGAGGGCCGAAATTAAACGGCGGAGTGTATTTTTGCCGGAAACCCCCGGCTTCGCCGAACGCGTAATGCGCGCTACGCGGCACAGGAAGTCGCCGAAGAACGAACCGACGTAATTCGACGAAGTCGCGGCGCGTTCTCGCAACATCGCGACCGCGCGCCGATCGTCGTTCATTCCGATCGTCCGCCGCTTCTCGGACCATCTCGGACGTACCATTTGCGCTACGTGACCGCAATCTTGAACCGCCGACGACGATCCCCGGGCTACACGGCCACGCGCGGATCGCCCGATTATTTTCGGCAGGTGGGTGGCGAAAACGCCGGCCGATCCAGCGGCTCGCGAATTAGCTAAGGGTTAAAATGCCACAAGTGTGGTTACGTCACGCGGTTCCGCTTGTTCTTAAAATACACATCGGAGTTACCATCGGCATTGCTCCGCGTGCGACCGGTGTCCTTGGAGAAAGTAAAACCTTCGTAAAGTCACTGTTGACCGCTAAGCTTGTTTGGCCCATACTTTGAGGCTACGGAGTGTAGCGTGCTCGAATAATGAACTCGAATATTTATTACTTTACCTCCTCTCTTGTCTACGGACAAAGGAAAAAAGAGTAAGGCGGAAAGAGAGATTCGAATCGGACTCGCAGGACCTGTGATCGCAACTGCCTTTCTCACGTTTTGTTCATGTTTACGAGTTTTTCCCTAGAACACTTTGGAATTTTAGCTCTACTGCAAAAACAGAAAATCATTATGGGATTTTTTTCTTATATTATATGCGGACTAAAGGCTTGATCCTGGGTATTAAAAGCCCCCGTGCTCCAAAGGGTTTAAATTTAAAAAGAGAAAAGCGTGACTGACCGACCAAAAAAAAGAAGAGAAAGAAATGCAAAAGGGTTAAGCGCGTTAACGTACACGTCGACGAGTGCAATATGCGCGGCAGCGTCGCGCAGGGGCAGCAGATTTGTCCCGGTCCGTTGCGCGACAATGTCTGCGACAAAAACGTCGGAATAGCTTTGTCCAATTTAAAGTCAGTCCCACGCACACAGAAGAGTAACGGGCGTGTGTAACGTTAACGCACCCGCGTTCCTGCGTGCGCGGTGCAGTTTCTCCCGCCGTCGCGAACGCACGCGGCATACTCATTGCGCGTTGGCGGAGGAGGAATCGCCCGGGGAATCCCCCGTGGGTCGAGAGTGCACTGCCGAATTGCCCGTGCGGCCCTCTTCCGCAGGGAAGATTGATCCGCTCAATCTTTTGGGTGGTAACGCACCCAACGGACTTCCCGAGTTCACCGAGGTCACTGCGGACACACACACACAGTTACACATTACACGCAGACACTTAAGCCCATCACACAATGCCAGGCAACAGGTAACAGGAACAGGGAATAGAATTTCTAACGCGTTGGACTGGTTGGAAGAAAATTTCCGACGAATCCAACGCGTCAGAAATTCTATTCCCTGTTCCTGTTGCCTGGCATTGTGTAATAGGTTTTGCACTTTTAGACTTGTCATCAGTATCCCATCCTTTGAGTGATCCCAACTACGACACATTAGGCTTGTTTCGTGTTGCTACACTGGTGAACTAGTGCAATAAATTAGAGTAAGACAAGTCTATTTTTTCGCATTCTAGCTCACTGCCCTAGTTCACCAGCGCAGGAACAGAAAAGAAACCTATATTGCGTCGTTAATTGGTTAGCCGTGGCCATATTGGTCCTAACACGGGATTGGGAGTCAAAGATAAGAAGAAAAAGAAGCTCGTGGACTCCAATATTAACGATAACGGTGTGACTCATCTATTTCCGTAGCCGTCACGTGACGCAAGTACGGTGACGCATCGGAAACTTATCGCCAAATTAGAAAACTAATTAAACATTATCGGAAGCAACAGTTGACTGTTATAATTGGAAGGTGATTAGCGAACGAATTAGCTAAAAATAATGTTCGGCGATAAGGTACTCGGCTGATACACACTGAAAAAAAGAGTTTACTAATAGTTACCAAAGTCATTTAATCACAAATTTTTGCTGAATAATTGGTTACTATTACTGTATTTGACAACAGCTATCTAATATTTATTAGCTCAATTATTTGAAGAAATATTGTTCATGGTTGAGTCAAATAAATAATTTGGTAACAGTTACCTAATATTTAGTACCCGTCACTAAGTAGCGCATGCGTCGTACGCTCCTTGCAATAGTAAACTTTTGTAGTAGTTATTACATATCTTTGTTTCAAACACTATTTAGATTTGGTAATAGTTATCAAGATTTAATTGGGTAAAGTAAATTTTTAGTTGATTTCACTAAAATTTTATTATTTTAACTAAATATTTTTGTCGCTCAACTAAATTATATCGTAATTGTTAGCCTATGTTTAATTGGCACTATTTCACCAAATCATTTCGTTAGGTATAGTTAGCAAATACTGGTTAATATAATCAAATCCTTTTTTCAGTGCAAGTACGATGTTACTACTTGTCCATATGCACACACATATGCACACTTTAAATATTCTTCTTTACGCATTTTGATGAACTTCACTACCTCTTTTCCATTCATCTTTTGCGCGGGTGACGAAATTTCGCTCGCCTATTCTATCACTTCCTGTCACACTTTCTAAAGAACTGGCGGCCCGTACGTGCCCGTCCAAATTATGCACGACGAAGTTATGCGTGTACTCGCCACGTGGCATAATCGAGCCGGCGAACCGCGTAATGATAGACGCGGTACGTTCAACGGAAAATCTCTATTTCTATTGTTGGCGCGCCAAGTTAGTGAGCCGACTCGAAATCGGTCGTTGCGACGACGCTCGAGTTGCGTCATGATCGCGAGACGTGCGACTCCGAATCGATTGGAGATGTAACAACTGAATTGATGAGCGCAAACACCACGCGAGCCCAAAAATTTTCGAATCTGATTTTATTGCGTAAGTGAGCCTGCCGACTCCAGACAAGTTTTTGCGCCCACTGATTCAATTAAGACCTTGTTTAGTCTCGAAACAATGGAAGATTTAGAAAAAAAAATTTGTTTACAAATTTTTCTTAATGTCAACATCTTTGGCTTCCCAGTCAGCAAACTGTTAGCAGATCGGCAGCATTTATCGGAAACCCACACCAAAACCAGAGCCATCTGTGTCCACATTTGGCTTGTTTTGGCAAACAGAGTCTGTAAAACATACGCTGTCGACAGATTGTCAGCAGAAACCTAACAGGACCAGTTATGTGAGCGGATTTTGTTGTATTTCTGCTGACAATCTCGCGACATGTCGAACGTATCAGTTCCTGTATGCAATCTGCAGTCTTTCTGCCTTCAAAATTTTGGGCATTGCAAGGAATCTAAAAAGATAAACTAAGAGAGTAAGATAAAGTAAGGTCCACTGGGCATTAATGGGCATTGGTGTACATGATTTTGGTCAGCGGTTTACATCTCGGATTTGGCTATCTGGGATGATTGAGTCTAAATCGTTCTCCAAGCGCTTATCTAACGGAGCACGTAAAAGAATTTGTCATGACACCGATGGCTCGAATTTGAGCGGAAACGTTCGAGGACCACGAAGAAGATTAATTCAAAATATTAATTAAATACCCAAGGAGAAATGAAAAGTCAAGAGGGCGTGAATTTGATGTCATATTAGCCAAAATACGACACAAATTGTGTCAATATGACATCAAATTGACATCATCTTGATTTTTATTTCTCCTTGGGGTAATGCTAGTCCGATACGTAACAAATCCCACATTGTGCTCTCATCGTTCGCCTTTCAACTCTAGTTAAAAATTACTTTTATTTTGCGTTTGACACCATTACTTCGCACTGCCTTGCGCAAAATTGCGACAAAATTATTTATAACGTCCGAGAAAAAATCCGAAACTTTGTATATTAACGAAAGGAATGTTTGCTTATTGTCACCAGTAATGATTAAAAATTGAGACGGAAAACTTATAGTCGACCCAACTGGCTAGCTATTTTATTAGTTTATTACACAACGTTTCGACCCTATTTTTTGGGGGGGGGGTCTCGTATATTTTATAATTCGACTCTGTCTTATTCGACGACGATGACCGACCACTTGAAAAGGACCCCCCCCCCAAAATAAGGTCGAAACGTTGTGTAATGAACTAATAAAGTAACTGGTCAGTTGGGATGACTATAAGTTTCCCGGCTCAATTTGCATCTTAACTTGCTTGTATCTTAGTACACCATTTTCTTCATAAAATCTCGTTAAATCACTCTCTGATATCACTGCTCAATCGTGCTGGTACATTACAAGATATGTTACACAGCTCTCCTCAAACTCTTGAAGATTTCAGCACCATTTTTACAAACAATGCGTGGAAACTTTCAAGAGTACGATACACCAGCGCAACCGTTATTTAAGTAGTCCAATGCTCGTCGGATAAGAATAACGGCTGAGCATCGCGTCCGACAACGAGAATAAGCGTGTGCGAGGATGCCTAATAAAAATTGCTACAAATTCAAGTACACGTTTACAAACGTACGTAAGTCTCGCAGAGCGCAGTTACGAAACGCGAAGACCCACTCGACCTCGTGTCGCCCATCGAGTCTAAATTTTTACAAAGGGGGACGGGGCGAAAGGGTGACGCGCGAGAATGACAGTCTCGTTACCCCGAGGCCGTGTCAGTGCCAAAGCGTTCGAAAGATTCGCCCGTCGATCGATCGATCGATAAACGCGCGTTCGCACACCGCGCTGTTACAATACAAGCACGTGCAATAACTATCCCCCAATCGTCGGGGCAGCGCACATAACCTATACGGGCGGGGACGGCGAGCTCTTACCGTTACCCGCTGCGGGATGTCGCCCAGGAAGGTATCCGTCCGCCGCGTGTCAGCCCCCTCCGGTGCGTACGCTCGCCCTCAATCAACCCTCATGCTTCCGGCGCCCGTGATCGCACTGTTGCAGCACCCGCACCGCACAGCACCGCATAATGCAGTCGTGGTGCGACTAACCCTTTTCATTACGACATCTACACGACATTTCGGGAACGCGTTGCATCACGTTATTGATCGCGCATCCTCAGATCGGTACATGCGGGTCGCACCGCAGGCGTCGGCTCTTCCGACAGTTCCGACTGGCGGGCAGCACGTGCGAGCGGCCGACATGTTGACTGAACCATGGACGGGGTTCATGGTGGTCGTAAACCGGCGACGCCTATTGTATCCGTTTTTATCAATGTAGATCGACTTCAATCTCGGTTTAATTCGCGGCAAAAGAGACGAGAGGAAACGAAGAGATGAAGACGAGTTAATTAAACCGAGATTAAAATTAATCTACAACGGTGGGGAGACATTAATGATCGTTGGTGACCAAGGACATTTTTTTGAGACGCTCGTGAAAAAGCCAACGCCATTCAACATAAAATTTTGAATGATCAAAATATACAAGTGCGCTACTTGGCATGCTACTCATAAAAACATTGTCTTATGTAATAATAATAATTTACTGTCAATTCTTATGTGTATATAGGGTATGAAAATTCTATGGCGACATATCCGGTAATGGCTCTAGCAGACCAGGGACTCGATTCTTGAATTCATCCGATAGAGAAACGTATGCGAAAATTCTGCTCTGGCAGAAAAGTTGAATGTCGATTGCTTAAAAGCCACGCGAATTAACCCATCAACTTGCAACCTTTCTGTGAGAGCAGAATTTTCGCATACGTTTCATCTTCGAACGAATTCAAGAATCGAGCCCCAGCGCGACAACGCGACGCGCGATTATCCAATGAACGTACAGGTTTTATGGGAAAGCGTACAGTTTTCCCCGGGGCCCGATTCTCGAAATCATTCGAAGAAGAAACGTATACGAATATTCTGCTCTGACAGAAAAGTTGAAAGTCGATTGGTTAAAGCCATGTGAACAGCCAATCAACTTACAACTTTTCTGCAAGAGCAGAATTTTCGCATGTTTCTCCTTGAAATAAATTGAAGAATCGAGCCCCTGGTGTGCGCGTTTTACCAAACGTTGCTTAACTTCAATCTTAGGGCCTGAGCAGAATGGCTGTCTTGTACTCTTAAGACACAAGACAGTTATTGTGCGTTACCTCAAGACAAAGGCTCAAAACATTGTCTTAAGAGTATAAGACAGCCATTCTGCTCAGGCCCTTAGTTTAATTCATGTTTGTCTCTTTCTAGAGTAAGGGCCTGAGCAGAACGGCTGTCTTGTATTCTCAAGTCACAAGACAGTTATGTGCGTTACTTTAAGACAAAGATTTAAAATACAAAACATTGTCTTAAGAGTACAAGACGGTCATTCTGCTCGGGCCCTAACAGTTGGAAAGAGTCAAAGACTAAGCTTAATTCGTTCTCATCTCTTTTCAACTGTTACTTTGGAAAGAGACAAACGTGAATTAAACCAAAATTTAAGTTAAGCGATGCTTGGTAAACCGGGCCCCAAGACGTACAAAACTTGCCCGGTAAACAGTGTGTTAATGCGATTCTGCCTACGTCTGCATTATTCGCGCCACCAATCGAGAAGAAAAATATCGTTCGAGCCCGCATAAATGTTTGCAATATTATTCGCGAGATTTGACACCTGAAAATCGCCTTTTGCCCAATCTAAAAGTGAAATGACATTACTGAGGCGCATTCGATACTCGACGTGACGTAGAAATAAGAAAAACATTTTGCGAATAAAAAAGATTGCAGTTTTCATTGATGTCATTTGAAATGCAGCTTCAATTCAAGCCTCAACTGAAACGTATATTTATCCAAGTGCATGTAAATGTAATATAAGAAAAAAAAAGAGTCGACAGACGTAACTTCAGCCGTAAAAGACTAAGAGCAAGAGATCGTCCGCCTACGATAGAATAACGACGTGACGACAGAGCAAGAGCAAGAACGTTTACGTCGTGTTTATTCATATCAACAATATATGATACGCGGCGTCTACACGTGTAAAACTCGCGGTCGGGCGAGCCGTTATCACAGAAAAACCGAGTGTCCCTCCCTCCGCGCCCCCTAATTGTGGGTGGCGGCCGATCGTTGCGCCTCGCCCGAGTGCCGATTCATCATCGACTCGACGCGATTCGCGGTCTCCCGCACCACGTCCGATATCTCGTCCGGCAGGTGGTCAAGCGTTGGGATGTGCGCCGACAGCCTCTTGTAGACGGAATCCCTGCTGCCGTCCTTCTTGTGCCGCCTCTGCTCCTCGTATTTGAGCTGCTGCTTGAAGAATATGGCGTTCTTGATGAACTCCAGGGTGTTCTCGAAGCTCTTCCCGGCGCCGTGCATGGTGCGGACGGCGCTGACCGCGTACTCCACGTCGTAGCATCTGCCCACCAGCTGTTGCTGCAGCGCCAGCACCTCCACGCGCTTCTCCACCATCGGCGGTAGCGCCTTCCTCACGTGCTCCTGCAGCCTGTAGAACGCGAGCGACGGCTCGTTCGCGACGATGTGCATGTTCTCCGAAATGCGCTCCGTCGCTGCAACGAGATTTCGTCGTGTGGCTCAGCGTTCTTCCTCCACATATCAATATTAATTTTATGTTGCACGCATATCGATCCTGACTTATTTGTTAGAAGGTAGATCGGTGAATTTACTCGATTCGTGACGTCAAATCGCAAATTTTTAGCAAAATGAGGGAGGACAGATGGGGAAAGTTGTAAAGACAAGCGCTAACCTTTCTTAACCTTCGTTTCCAGCTCCTGATCGGGTTGATACACTTTTGCAGACATCGTTTGGATTATCGCGTCGTGTGTCAAAATCTCGCAATTTTCAAAATTTTCACGCAGCGTCAGTTCGACATCTTGAGATGTAAACGGTGGCCCTAATCCAGCCCTTGACGCACCCTAGCGAAACGTGTCAGTGTCGTCGCATCGCGACGCTATTCCTCACAAATGGACATTCCGTTCCTTTCCGGGCGGGCGCTTCCGATTTCCTTATCTTTTTCTTCCTCAGATTCTTCTAAATTGGAATAATCGTGTAAAATCGAAGCGACAGAATTTCTCGAATCTCCCACCGCGTGTAATCGGGCGTCTGTCACAATCAGCTGATTGCTCGGAACACAGCTGTCTGCTCTTTTTACCTGAACTTGCTGCACTGGTTCAGAGTTTATCTTTCTCCTTCCAACGTGGAGGGACAGAGATAAACTCTGAACTCAATCAGATTCCATATGCATACGTTATGCGCTATGTAAGTTTATCTAGAATTACCCAGTGAGAAATAATTCGTCGATCGATGTCGAAACGATGTCAAATCGACGTCAAAATGATGGCTTCGATATCGATACCACAGATTAATAGACAGATCGCCAAAGGCCCGGGTGAAAACGAGACCACCTATACACACTTTGCCCCTTACCGACAGCGTTGCCCCTAGGAGCGAGTCTGTACTAAATATATCCGATTTTATCGACAAATTTGGCCTTTTGGTGCGAGTCCAGACTAAATTTAGGCAATTCTGTCGATAAAAGCGGATATATTTAGTCGGGACTCGCACCAAAAGGCCAAATTTGTCGATAAAATTGGATATATTTAGTACAGACTCGCTCCTAAGGGGCAACGCTGTCGGTAAAGGGGCAAAGTGTGTATAAGTGGTCTCGTCTTCACCGGGGCCTTTGGCGATCTGTCTCGATACGACATCGTTTCGACGTCGATCTACGTGTCATTTCTGATTGGGTAACGAGCCTAAAAGCAGACGCCGTTGCTGCAATCTCGCAGTAATAACGTTCTACAATTATAATGTTTATACAATGTTAGTAAAGCAGAAAATGCTTTGCATTTCGGTACGACAGGTTTCGGCGACTCAAACTTTGCAACAGTACTGGCGCGGTACAATTCCACGTGTCACGTGATGTAAACGCAAACTTAAAAAAACTGTCGAACTAAAAAAACAAATAATTCACTAAATTGTATTCGTTATGGATTTTAATTTTAAACTTTGAACTAAATCCAGATTATGAAGACAATTCTATTTCATGTTTTTCATTCATTAATACTGATTTTCTATTTCAACGATTATCAATATATCAATTAAACTGGTCTTGTTGATATAACATATTTTTTTCCGTGCATATAACATAAAAACCTCATAGACAGGTACGTATAACACTTACATAACACATGGAATAGTATTTGAGAAGGATTATGGTTCAGTCATTATATTTAAGATAACGTTAACTACCGTAGAAGTTTCTTCCTACTGTGCAAAATTAGTTTTACAAAAATAAGGTTTTAAGATAAAATACGAAACCATAAACTATATCTATAATTAACTTATATCTATAATTAGGTTTAATCAGAATAATTATCGTGTTATAGTGATATATAAGTGAAGAGTGTGCAATTATTGTGCTTGTACAATTCTAGTGAAATACGCGAAACCTGCAATCGCACTCGTCACGCAAACGGTAAAAATATTTTTATTTTAAAGTTTTTTACATTACTTGTAAACATTATACTGTATGTCAAAGTCATTGGGTAAATCTGATTTTATTTTCAATTTCCTATTGCAACAAATTTAATATAATTTGCCAGTTGGGTTGAGAATGAGTTTACTTTTTTAACACCTAAAGTTTAATCCGGTATATGACTTCACATATTAATTTAATTAACTACCTTCAGCTTGCCAAGATCTAAACGGCGTTTACGTTTATATTTGAGCTCACTTTTTAATTTTCTATTTCTATTTAAGTAATATACAGGGTGAGTTTTTGTACAGTATTACAACTCACCCTGTATGTACATTTAATTCCTGTTGTATCCGAAGAAAGCACAAAATTGGCAAATTTTTTTAACTTTTAAGAATGTTTTTGGAACAGAAATAAGATGGAAAAAATCATTTTATATTCGGAAAAAATTCAAAATGAATTTTTTTAAAAACAATAATAATTTGTTGAATGTTGTTTCAACATTGCAGCATCATAAAGAGTCTATATATTGTAGAAGAATCACATAATAGAACGTTAAAAGGATGTTTATACTTCAACATGCAATATTGCAACGTCTCAGCAATGCTTCAACTTTTTGTATTGTACGGAATATTCATTCCCACTTAGTACTTCGGAAGGGATATACCACCAATCAGAACGATGTGAAAAACACCATTGATAATAATCCATATTATTATTCTACGAGCTGTGACAGAAAGGAAAATGAGGTCAGTCTCCGTTACTGCCCTGATAGCATAGAAAAGTTTCTGCAATGTTTATTTCTTTTAATTTCAAATAGAAGACAGAAGATGCGCGCGCCATTTATATTTGCTATACGTGTATATACAATGCGGTTATTAATTCACATTAATTCGCTTCGTGTCGTATTGTCAAAAAACATCTATGTTTAAATAATCAAGTAATTTTCGTCTATCCCTTAGTACCCGAACCAAATTAATATACCGCAATGTATGTAAATACATATGTATATTTTATTTTATGTATTCCTTAAACTCTCAAATCCCCAATAAACATTATTATCCTTGGAAAATTCTCAAAAATTTGAAAAATTCTTGGAATATTCGGTAGCCTTTTTGCTTGTTAGGCTTTATTTTGGCGATTTTAAATTAAATTTAAATGAAAAAATATACAACTTTTGAGAAGTGGAATTTTTTGCAGAAATTATTGGCACCGATAAGATATCTTGCTCAAACTCCTGGAACACTAACAACAACGACTTTTATAAAGGCCATTAATTATTGGTTAAAGACACCGGACGACAAACTCCTACCGATCAAAGATATAGTAAACATGCTCCTCTTGGCTGCCACTATGTCAGTGTGCATTTTGTTACTTCCACATAACAGTCTGTTTTGTGAATCTTTTAAAGTGAATACTTTTATAAGAATTAGTTTCGAGTTTCTTTTATTTATGTAGAGTCGATGATATTCAAGATAATTCCATTATGCGAAGAGATGTTCCTGTTGCACATGCAATTTATGGAATCCCTCACACACTAAATGCTGTAAATTATGTGTATTTTATTGGGTTGGAACGAGCTCTTAGTTTACAACATCCAGAGGTAAGTAGTATCAAGCACATTTTTTACGAAACAATGCTTTGACTTTTTATTTGATTCTAATGTAATAATGATATATGACAATATAAATATAAATAAAAGATAATGATTTTTTTTATAAACCTTAAATGGATATTCTTACAATATAGACAACTTTGCAAGCGTTACGATGGCAGCATTGCAAATAATGATGTCATCGTGAAAATTAATATATGTATATTAATTGTTAAACTCATATACAAATAATTACAAGTTAATTCGAAAGTGAAAAGTATAAAAGTATAATATTATCAGGCGGTAAAAGTGTATATGGAACAAGCACTGGACTTTCACAGAGGTCAGGGAATAGAACTTCATTGGACAACTAATTGTATCTGTCCAACTGAAGCAGATTACAAGACGATGATAAAAAACAGTAACTGCTATTACTCATACCAACCTCTCTCTCAAATATACAAAACTATACACAAAACTCATTCATAAAAAATTTGAAATAAATTTTATTTTGCAGAAACTGCAGTTTTCTACTTCGCGCAAAGAGTAATGCAATTGTTCTCAACTTTTACAGAAGACCTTTCATTAATAACAGATACCTTTCGATTATTGTTTTTCATAGGTGATGATTATTGCGACATATGGCTTGATGAGGTAAGTGATAACACTTAATTTTATTTAATAAATTTTCAAAGTAACTAAATTAATTTTTATGGTAGGACGTCAACAGTAAAGGTTATTGTGACGATTTGGCCGAAGGGAAAGTGAGCCTTCCGATTATTCATGCACTTACAAACAATCTGGACAATAAGGAACTAATTAGTAAGTATCCTTTATGATTTAATGTTATTTTTATTTACGAAATAATATTTGTTACGCAATTAACGTAATTTGTTCATTGATTGCTTTATATACTTGGAAAGGTTTAAATGTAATTTAATAAGTACATATATTTTTTAATGATGCTTAATAAAGGTATTCTAAAACAACGGACAAAGGATAACGAAGTGAGACGTTATTGCGTTCACTTATTAGAGAAAAATGGTTCCTTTGAATACGTGAAAAACGTGCTTGAAGAACTGGACTCGATCGGGAGGGCTGAAGTTGAACGTTTAGGTGGTAACCCACTTTTTGTGAGGCTTCTGGATCAACTCAAGACTTGGAATAGGAAACATGCGTCTAAGAGTACCTTAGATAGACTTTGGCATTAAATTTACGATTAAGTATTTTTTCGTACAACCAGCAAAAACGTTGTTTCATACATGTTTCATATTATACGAGATAATTGTCTTAATGACACAAACAGTCCAGATATGATGATGTAGGAAAGATATATGTATAACAAATATATCAAAAATGTATAATAAAGTTTCGTTATGAGATTTTTGTTCCAAAAACATTTGTAAAATTTCATTAGATATACCCACGTATTAAAAACGGAAATAAATGTCTACAAAGGATTTAGAGAAATTATATATATTGTATACACATATGTATAAGTGCTGTATACAGGGTGTCAGTGAATGTTTGGGACTTATTTTTTTGTGCTAATAGAGCGGACCAAACTAAATCGAACAGTCCTCTACCATTTTCCAATTTTCGCCATAGTTGTAATGAATTGTTAATTATGAAAATATCCGTCTTAGCCCGGGCTATCGTCCAGTGTAAGCGTGTGTTTTAGATTTGACTTCAAATGTTACCCGATAAAAACAGACCAACTTGTAAAGACCCTCCACCACCCCCGCCGAATTCTTATCGGCGGTCCTCTTTTGTTTGCGATAAAATTGCGTTTTTACAATTTTGTCATTAATTTTTTGTAAACACCCTTACGTTGTAAAGCATTTTTTGTTAATGTACAAACGAAAAATCAAACTGTAAAAGGAAATTTATCGATCAATTGCAAACGAAAATCTATCGAGTAAAAGACTATGTGAATCAAATTGAACTAAAATTTTATTCTATAAAAACAAATCGACCTATATAGAGGCCCTCCACCACCCCCGCCGCGTTTAATCGACGGTCCTCTTTTCTTCACAATTTGATTTTTTACATTTTTATTATTTATTTTATTTTTCTTATAATTAACTTTACAATACACTTACTATATTATAAAAGAAATAATGACATTATAAATTTACAAATAAAATATCTGTACAATATCTACAATATTTCTCTCGACGTTATACATATATGAAATATTCGGTATACGTACAAGAACACGAAATTCACTTACGTACTTATTATATTAAAGTTATGGTTACTTCGTTAATTCATGTTACCTAATGTTTTTAAATATCGAATTATGTCCCCCTATCTCTGACTATCCAAATCCCTACCTACCCGTATTCCGATTTATAGACCTACCTACCTACCTGTGTTTCAACATAATGAATCTACAAATCTTTTATTAACCGCGACGTGATTTTCTTGGGGTTTGACTTGGAGTTTAACGCGGGGTTTAATAGGGATTTCACTCTCGCACATATGCGAGAATGTATGTATATAGAAGCTTAACCCACCCGAATTGTAACAAATCAAAAGAAATCAAAGTATACTTCGTACAGCACCTTACTTAGGTACTCCATCAGACTGGCCAATATATTGACCATACCTCGTCGTATTTAGTCCTTCGTTGGGCCAGATTGGACATACCTTTCGTTGCTCCCGGCCATACAATCTGGTCATTTTGACCAGAGATCAGGAAGGAAGAAAACTCCTTCTATAGTCGGTTATCGTCACCGACAAATATTTCGTACGGTTCGAATATACGAGTGACGATCGTATCGCAAAATACGCGATCACGAGAAGTTAATTAAAGAAAAATATTAATTTAAAAAACTTTATATATATATACGAATCAAATTTAATTTTACTTCCGTTATTTATTTAAAAA